CGAGGCAGCGGCAGCAGGGAGGGTGGCACTGCCCTCCCGTGGGTGCTGCCGCGTGGCTCTGGAGCGCGCCGGGGGCGGCCCTGCGGCAGGGCCACCCGTCACAGGGTCAGACCCAGCCGCTCTCCTGGTCTGATGCCAGCCACATGGCACAGCCTCCACATGGCACAGCCTCCTCAGGACAACCACGTGGGAACTGCCAGGACACGTAGCGATGGAGATGGTAGAAACTGCAAATTGTGCCCACGTTTCCTATACCCTCTCTTTGCTCTTCTCTGCCTCTCTCCTCCTCTCCTTTCTCCTTCAGCAGGGAATTTAGGCTTTCAGTTTCCGGGATTTGTGCCTGCTGGTAATAGATTTTGTCTTTGTTATAGTGTTGTGTGATGTTGTTTACACTCCTGTACCTCAGAAGGCTGCCTTTTCTTCTCATATTGTAGCTTTCAGATTAGCTAGACATCTTGCTATTCTTTTTCCCTGCCTCTAATTAATTGATAGATTGTTCACAGTACCAGATTTACTGAAAAAAGAAGTCTAATAATGAAATGGTAAATGAACAAGCAAAATAACAGCTGTCCAAACCACAGGAAGCAGAATATAATGTACTGCTTTTAAATGATGTTTGAGGGAAAACAAACAAACAAACAAATCAACCATGCCCAGCTTTCTACCCCACTGCTTTCAGGTACATGCTCTTTGTCTCAAAGTTCATTCAACCAGGAGATGGATGGTTTCTGCTCTCCAGAATCAGTGATTCAGATGATGTCTGCCTTTGATACGGGTGCATTCACCATGACAGGAGAGTTTTTCACTCAAATCCACCCTTGGGATCTTGTGTGGAGGGTGACCTAGGAATTGCAGATTCTTTCACTGGTATATGTTGTTCCTAACTATACTCCCAGGTAGAATTCTCCCAGCTCACTACATCTTTCCTTGTTCTCAGACCTGCAAGAATCTCAGTAACAGTCAGATAGTTGCTGGCTTTCATTTTCTGCATGTGCTTTGCCTTTCCTCTATATCCATCCGCCTCTTGTGTTAAGCTGAAAAACTTACCAGGCAGATAAAACAGGCCTTTTTTTTTTTTTTTTTCCTCTCAAGAATGTTGTCCTAGTTCACTTAGTTCTGTATGTGTTCAGGAGGAGATTTGTGTTAGCTGTATTATTTTGTCCAACAGAAATATCATCTCTTTGGACTTCACCTTAACTACGAAGAGGCGTCACAGTCCAAAGCATGTTCGCACCTTGTTTTAACTAACATGACAACATTGTGCACCAGTCTGGCTTAAGAACATACTATTCTTAGTTATTCATACTATTCTTTCAAAGCAAGCTTTCAAACAGAAGCAATAATTCCAATTCCAATTCTTCCTGTTTTAGAAATACACTGGAAACTACACCGAGCAGAGCAAGGAGCACTGAGGGAAAAGCAGCCAGCTCTACACGCAGGGAGGAACGTGATCAGGTCAGGAGTCACATCCAGGTGCTAGCACAGCACCGTGGCCTAATACATGCCTACCTGCTTTCCAGTAAGGCTAATGAGCTCAAGCAAACCATGTGGTCACAGCAACCCTACCGAACAGAGCATACGCCGCAGCATTTCGGTACATGGTCAAGCAATGCATGGCCCTGTAGCCTGCAATATATTCCACCAATCTCAGCTTTATTTACAGCACTGTCATCAAGGCAACATGGGAGGGTCTGGCCTGCCAGCCGGGATCTGGCACCATGGCCATCATCACTGAAAAAGAAGGTATTTAGCTCTTTAGATCCACCTCCCCTAAAGTATTTAGGCAATTAACCTCTGTTTAGGTTATTCAGAAAATTGGTTTGAGGCCCAGATTTACAGAGATATTTAAGTATCTGGTTTCTATTTCATTTCCTCAGGAGTTAGATGACTAAATTCCTTTGTGAAAAGACCTTGGGTCATTTTGAAATGTTTTCAGTGCATCTGATCTGATGTTCTAGCCAAGATCCTTAATTACTAGTTTTATATTTCTATACACCTCCCCTGAAAAGGAGCACTCTTCCTCTCTCTGCCCCTTTCCTAACACCTCAGCACCACGAACATGAACAGAATCTCCACGTCTGCCTCCTCCACTACCTATTCCCAATAGGCAAGCAACAATAACCCAGCAACAGAAAACATTTAATACCTCCCCACAAAAAAATGGCTACTCCTCAAAGCTTAGAAAGGTAAAATGCTAAATATCACTGATGTGGTTTGAATTATCCTCTTGCATCTGTACATTGTCAATGGCAATACTACTAAGCTGATCTGAGACACTGAACGAAATGCAAACCTGAATGAGCCATAAAGGTGGAAGAGAGCAGTAAGTGGCCTAAACATGTAGTCCCTTCCACTACAGGACTGTTTCGTGTGCTCAATTCCTGGACTGCAATGGAACATAGCTAAGCTATTAATTAATTCCAGACAACTCTCAGCACTCTATGTTCACTGCACTGTGTAGTCCAAGGAGTTTACGTACAAAAATCAAGCTATTGTAGTAGGAAACCAAGATTTATGGCATGTCCAAAATGAAAACTTCTGTGGCACCAAAGAAGTTGGGGGTGCTGTGGCTGGGAGACCAACGATGGTTTCTTTCTGGGGATGTGGGACCTTCCTATCCCAGGCAGCCTCTCCAACACATCAACAGGCATTCAGAGCTGGCTGAAGCTGCCTTAGGCTGCTACTAACCTTGAAATTTATCTTGGTAGACTTACTACTGGTAGACTTACTTAGAATATTGGATATTGGTAGACTTAACTATTTTGGGCAGATATATTTTACTCGTTATACTTTTTTACTCCCCAGGCTCCAGAATAAAATTAAATTTTGAAGCCGCGGTACAAGAGGGTGGCCCGGGCAGCTGGCCGGCCCGTGATACAGCGCAGGGAGGAACAGGGACCGTGGAGGCCAGGGAAGATGCTCACGGCAGAGGTACAGACCGGTGGCGCGGTCCGA